GGAAATCTTACACTGACATGATGGTTTTGTACTGAAACAGAATTGTAGCAACATAAATGATATGAATTACATTATGCCAAAGAATTATTTAAATTTGATATCATGTTTATCCATTATTGGGACTAACGTACATTGTTAGCAGTTTTTGTTTGCCAAAAATGGTCGAAAGTAGAGTAAAAATACTAGGAGTTTGCATATAATCATCAATACGCCATAATATCTTTGCAATGGACATGTAACACCCAACAACCAAAAATAAATTACACTTATGAAATGAATTTTAGTATGCAATAATGGTTTCATTTGAAAATATAACACACCTCTTAGATAAACAACTACAATCATTATATACAACAGGCATCTTATTTAAAAAAATCTGATGTGCACACCACATACTTCCTTGTATTGGAATATTAAATTATACGCATTTTTTCTTGCATTTCATTTAAACTTACTGGATTGAATTAAATCTACTTCGCCGACAGCGCATAAACCACAATAGAATAAATGCATTCTTTAAGATTCACTTTACTATTTGTTTACCATAGCGACACTCTGGCGCTAGATTCACTTAACAGTATTAATAATTATATAACAGTTAACAGGATATAACGGAAACTAAGTTAAATGTTATATAATCCAATAATTATATAACAGTTAACTTATATATTTCGTTCATATTATAACTCATAATGCACAAAATTTATATCATTTAAAGAATAGAATTATCTAATCGTTGCCACATGTTCTATTCAAATACTATAATAAAGCTAGAATGATGTATAAAAGAAATTAAGCAAACAAAACAAAAAAGAAACAGTTTTTCACAGACGATTGAGTATTTCTCATTTAATTAATTCAGTTCTCACTTCACGAGAATGTAAAAATACATAAAAAACTCAAAATATCAATATTAAAAATTACGAAGTAAATCTTAAACACTTATTTCCTCGAAAAAATTTCAGAAAGAATTAAGCATGATTTAATTGGCAATAATAAATGAAAGCGTTATCTTTGTTGTTGCGCAGCTAAGTTTCTCTAGATTGGCAACAAATCCACTAGTCTCCTGTTTCAAATTTAAACATCAATGGCCGCCATTAAAAAAAGGCTTAGCGGCACTTAAACAACTTTAAAATTGTTGATAATTCTAAAAATATCGCATACAGATTTACTAAAGGCATAAAATCTTAGTCGGAAGATAAAAACAACATAATACAATCATTTTTAAAGCAAAAAATGTACAATTTACAAACATATAAGAGTAAAGAAAGAGACCACTGAGCCGGGTAACAGAGTGGATATATATATAAATATAAGTATATACGTTTGGTGCGGCCGATTGCAACCAAAATACGAGGTGCGCATCTACATGTTATAGCAGTCCTATATACAAAACTTGAACGTTCTGAAGCTACTCGTTTTTGAGTTATGCGAGATACGTTCGTAGGTACGCACATACGTACATACGTTCGTATAGACGCCACGAAAAATTCTTTTCAGAATTAATTTTAAGCAGTTTTATAATGTTTTTGAAGGAAAAGAGTATTTTATTCTGTCCTTACGTATAGATATCAAGCAAAAACATCGTTAAATTGCATTCGATAGCGGTCAAAATGGATATTTTCTTTGAAATATGCTACCTGAAACTTTTCGCGATTACAATACTTCCTTTTTTCTTCGTACAAGGAAGTAAAAAGGCATAAATTATATTAATCAGATAAAATTTCTTGTAAGAGCTTCATTATCTGGTTATGTATAATTCTTAAGCAAACAAGAAGCCATTTCAAGTACCATAATATAGTTTGCATAAGAGCTATCCCATTCCATCACAGAATATTAAAAGCATTTTGGTAGAAGCAAGAAATTTTATAGTAATTTTCCAACCATATTCTAATATTCAGATTGTAGATTTTAAAATTTTATCATTTAAAACATACAATTTCCTAGAATACAAATTTTTGATTCTTTATTTTCAGGGAAAAACATTGTATTTTTAAAGAAATCCAAACCTTCTTTCTTATAAATACGTAGACTCCAGAATTCTATTGTAATTATTTATGATAAAAAAAAAGTATTTGCCAGTGAAATGACGGTTAACTATAAAATATGTAAATCCATTTGTATGCGCTGTCTTTGGTCACATGTGTACCAGAAATGCATTTAAAAAAACCTAACACTTTTATAAAATGCTGAAACTAGGGGTTGGATAATCAGAAAATACTTAAATATTTAGTATTTGAATGAGGTGATTGTGTATGCTTCATATAGCTTTGTCCAAAAACAATTCACCATTCGTATGTAACACAGACTAAAGTATATTAAATTACTGTTGACAATTTCAGTTTCTTGGTGCATATTTCATAGATGATTATACACATGTAATATGAATATGTGCCAGTTTTCAATGGAAAGTACTACACAAGGGCATCATCTATACCCTTTTCTGAAATGAAATGCCAATTTTTTTTCCATATTTCAATTTTTCGACTCAAATTACACCAAACTACCAAGTTTTGTAAAACTCGCAAGTGTAGTTTTAAAAAACTAGCCTTCTCAAAATTTTAGCTGCTCAATGTCAATTAAGTTTTGTATCTATTTATTAATCTCTCTTTTCTTATTAAAATTATTTGATTTTTCCTTTCACATTTCGAAATTGAGGTTCATTCCAAATAAAAATTCAGCCACTTTTTATGATTTATTTTTAAAATTTGTATTTTTAAAAAAAATTTTATAATTTTTTTTAAAAAATTGAATTATAATCTATAAAAGTTTTACCATCATCTTAAAGCAGACGTATGTCTAAGCATACCTGCAAAAAATTACAGTTTTTTATTCAAAATTTCGGAATATATACGTGAATTTATATATTGGCGTGTTTTGAAATTTTACATATTTGTTGAAAGCTATAAATCCATTGTAGATTGCATTGTTGGAAGCTATAAATCCAAACATCAAATGTGGTTTAGACACTTTGCTGAAATTATTTGAAAGTAGAAACGAAGTGACTTTTTTCTCGCTCATGCACAACGTAAAAAGGTAGGAACGAGGTGCCTTTTTTCTGCTCTGGCATAATGGAAGGGAAAGGAAAGGAAAATTGGTTGCCGTATATTAAGAAGTTCGCCAAGCGAAGTATTCTTGGCGCAAACTGAAAAAAATTGGGTCAAGATAAATTTTTGAATTTTTCCGTAAATTTCGCACCAAATTTTACAAAATTTAATATCTAGGCATAATTTGAGTCGTAGAATCAAAATATGGAAAAAAATTATATGTTATTTCAGAAAAGGTCCGATTTTGAGCCAAAATAGCTATGTTAGAAGAATGCTATATATAAATCTAATAAGTCACGCTCTCAAGACATGAAAAACGCAATTTGAATTTTGTCAATTGGGCCAATAGAACGGGAGATACAAAACTGTTCCCCCCCTTTTTTTTTTCTAGTGTACATCGTAGGTCTTTAATGACGATCAGTGATACTTTAGACCTTCTTTCGTTTTCTCTTCGGTAGTCTAGGAAGAAGATTGGATACTGTCGTTAGGAGTGAAAAAATGCGTTGGATTGAAAGTGGTTTCTTCATTAGTATTCGAAGAAAGCAGAAGAGTCGCGGTAGCCCCCTTCACTCTCTAGAGTTCCGATAGATGCTAGTTTCATATCTTCAACAGCAACATACGCAAGTTTTTTAAAACTTTCCCTGAATCTTCAGCTTTATTAATTTTTAAGCTCTTTATTTTATTTTCCTTAATCTTAGCTTCATTTTTTGCCGATTTGGAAAGAAATACGATATCACTGACAAAACGGGTAATGCCCGCGGCCGTCTCTGTATCAAAGGCCATCTCTGTATAATGCGTTGGCCATGTTGAGCGTTTTTTTGTTGGGGAAGAACGTCTAGGGCGTTTAATTGAAATCTTTAACTTAGTCTATTATCGATCTGGATGAGGAAGTGATTTCTTTGTCTTACTCTCCTTCTTGCGCTGCCCAGATATAAAAATGGTTAGTGACTCTGACTGCAGTACCGAAAGTCCGAGTTTGAATTCCGGAATTGCATTAATGTAACCTATCCGTCCCTTTATATTAAGCAACGGTCATCTACTTACTAGGCGCCTCCATAATAAAGAGACCACCACTTCCGGCCTTAGTAGTATAAATGTCTACAGCTCGCTATTGAGAGAAAAATGCTCCTTTTTGCACTCAGCAGTATTAGTTTCCCTGAAAAGGAGACATTTTAAGAGTTGTATCATCCATTAAACATATCAGTATCTCCACTAGCCTATCATCCTTGTTATTAGTCTCCAGTTTAGAAATTTGAGCACCCAAAATATCGATAAAGGTCTCAAATCTCTAAATCAAGCCCTTGTCCATCCTAGTAATTAAAGTGAAGGAAAAACAATCAAATCCACAGAAAAATGTCCAAAATTTGCTCCTAAGGCCGTTTTATGACACATTAAACTCAAGATAAATTCCCAGATATTTTAGAAAACTCAGTAATGGCCTTTCTTATAGATATGACAAATTGTCCTGTAAGCTTTCTACCAAGATTTCTTGATTAAACATGTTTATTACAGCTTAAATTGTAATACAATAATAACTCATTGTTGGCGACCCACAGCAGAGTAAATAATCCTAAACAACAACGGAAACAAGACACAATCATGTTGCCAAAAATATGGCAAAATAGATTAACAAACAGTATGACAAGGTCAAAGTCAGGTTGCCAAAAAACATTAGGAAATTGTGATGATAAAAATTAAAGACTGAACACTTTCGCATATTTCATAGACAAAAACAGTAGCTTGCATAAGCGTGATAATGTATGTGTAGATATAAAAACATTTTTGGCCAGTTTTAAAACCTTGCATAAGTCACATGAAAAACTACTCACAACAATGTTTAGGCAACATGCACACGGGATGTGTACTGAATTTCAAGCACGTTTGGCATTAATTTTTCTTTTGGAAATTAACATTTAAATATAAAATGAGTAGTTCCAAATTGCATTACAATTTCATAGCTCTAGGTAAGTCATAAATGGCAAAAAAAGGCAAAGGGAAAAAGGGCAAAAAAGGAGGAAAGAAAGGTAAAAAGAAAGAAAGCTTGTCAAATCTTGACAAACAGAAATTTCTGCTGGAGATTAACAGTCTCGAAAATAAGATTGAATGGCGAAGACAACTATGCGAAATAATTGAAGAAGGTATAGAAGAATGCAAAGAAGTATATGAAACAGAGCTGCAAGATAAAAATGAAGCTGTTCAGCTTCTAGAAGAAGCTATTGAAGAGCAAACTTCAGTTTTCAAGAAACTGAAGCGGGCCATTCCACAAGTAGAATCTGCCAAGATTCAAACTCAGGATGCACTCTCAAGGGAACTAGCTTTAAGTTTCATAAAAGAGAATGAAGAAAAATCAACCTATGATGCTCAGTTAGAAATATACCGTAGAAAACACAGAGTTCTAAAGAATTACAATGCAGAAGAAACTGAGGAAAGAATAGAAATGGCAGAAAGAAAATTTCATTCCGTTCAGCAGGAAGAAACTTATTCGAACGTACTTAAAAACGCCCAAGAGACTGAAAAAAACCTTCTTAGAGAATTTATGCAAGAGAGCCTAGAAGAAACGGCTAATATTTTTCAAGTAAGTATACTAGTTGTATCATAAGTATACTAATACATCAAGTAGTATACTAGTAAAATACCGAAAATTGTTGCTGCTTTTCCATCAAAAATGAAAGTTGAAGAAAATTCTAACAAACTTTCACCAATCATTTTTCACAAACGAGTGTTCTCTCTTTGTTTAGTTAGATCGTGGATTCCCACCCCTTATAAAAGAATGCTTTTTTTTTTCAGCATCCTTACAATTTTCTCTATAACACACAACATATAGCATAATCATAATACAAATAATTGCACACAAATAGGTTAAATAACGATTAGGCTAAGAATATGAACAAAAGTCTTGAAGAAAATGGTTTATTAGATTTATGTTTTATTATTTCTTATTTCATAATTTTTTTATTTTATAATATAAACAAATTTTCAAGAAAAAAATCACAGATTCTAATTGCATAAAAGTTCGATTTCAATTTATGTGTGGTTTCTAGTGTAGGAAATAATGCCCTATGAATTTGGCGGGTGCTACTTTGGTAGACGGTTGCACGGATATTGGCGATTTTTTGGCGAGCCATACGACTTATGGTAAACCCATTGCTAAACAAGTTATTTATGGTAGCCGAAACTTCGTTGTCATTTAATTAAAAAAAATAATACGTTTCATTATGCATAAATTCCGTGTTTTAAATATTATTTATGTTCTAAATAATAAAAATCAATTTAATTTGCATTTTTATTTGAAATAAAAATTTGCTGTTTATGATATTTAGGAATTTTATGTTGTGAATGATGTAATGAATGACGTCAATTATTTTAAAAGTAATTGGTTTTAATATCTATAAATTTAATCTAATGTTTTTAAACGTTATTTATGGTTTAAATATTAAAACAATTAAGGTGCTACTTTTTGGTAGAGGTTGCACGGATTTTTTCGCGATTTACATTGGCGCAATTTTGGCGCGGTTTTTACAGTCTTCAGCCATCTGAAAAATGCTGTTTTTACGTATTTCACGCATAGTACAGTATTCGAATTAAAAAATAATATCGTTAAAAAAATGGATTAATTTTTGTTGAAAAATTGTTTCATTAAGATGGCTGACAATGTAAATAATACATTTACTAAGAATATAAAATGCTAAAGTAAGGTTTATTACTTTATAATAGAATCAAACATTGCGCAACATTTAATTGGAATTAAATATTACTAAATTGAATATTGAATGAAAACATCATACCAACGTTTTAAAAGAGTTAAAATTTTTCATTACTAAATTCAAATCCTTTAAATAAAGTTTTATAGGATATAATTATTTAACATTAAAACATGTGGCAATAAATATCTCAGGAAATTTTAAAAATATGTATTAAATTTTTAATAAAAAATTGAAGTATACAATAATAAAGTAAAAGAAAAATATGTACTACATTTTTTTAAGCATTTACTGTACGCATATTGATAAGCACCAGGAAAAAAAATCTTCATCGTTTATCCACATTTCTCGCACTCATTGAAGAAGCAATTAGCGAGGTTTCCTTCCAATATTTAAATAAATTTCCTCTGACCTTGTAAATAAATAAATCTTTGATTAGGAAATCCAGGTTGGCCAAAATAAGGTCTCAAACGGCAATTTTTTAATTCCGATACCAATAATTTGGGTAATTACCACTAACAACATTCATCTTCGAAACGGAGACATCCATTCGCTTTGAAATCTGAGGAATTCGAAGAGATGAATAATAAAATTTAAAATGGCGTGGTAATGCACAATATTCAGTAACCAATCAGGGCGCTGATACATCACGCCTAGAATTAAAATTATTTAAATAATTATTCATAATAAAATCATATTTAAAAATGCAAAATTAAATTGTGTTTAATATTTAACAGCCATAAATAATGTTTAAAACATTAGATTAAATTTATAGATATTAAAACCAATACTTTAAAAATAATGTGACGTATTCATTACAGCACTCACAACATAAAATTCCCATAAATCATAACATAAAATTTTTATTTCAAATAAAAATGCAAAATTAAATTCATTTTATTATTTAGAAGTCATAATAATATTTAAAACGGAATTTTATACATAATAAAACGCATTATTTTTTAAATAAATGACAACAAAGTATCGGTTACAATAAATAACTTGTCTAGCAAAGGGTTTACCATAAGTCGTATCGCTCGCCAAAAAGAAATCGCCAAAAAATCGCCAAAATCCGTGCAACCGTCTACCAAAGTAGCACCCAATTTAATTTTGCATTTTTTAAATATGATTTATTATGAATGATTATTTAAATAATTTTAATTCTAGGCGTGATGTAATCAGCTCCCTGATTGGTTACTGAATATTTGTGCATTACCGCGCCATTTTAAAATTTTATTATTCATCTCTTCGAATTCCTCAGATTTCAAAGCGAATGGATGTCTCCGTTTCGAAGATAAATGTTGTTATTGGTAATTACCAAGAATTATTGGTATCGGCATAAAAAATTGCCGTTTGAGGCCTTATTTTGGTCAACCTGGATTTCCTAATCAAAGATTTATATATTGTTACAAGGGTCAGAGGAAATTTATTAAAAATTTTTGGAGGAAACCTCGCTAATTGCTTAATTAAAGTGCGAGAGATGGGGATGATAGATGAAGATCTTTTTTTTTTTCTGGTACTTATCAATATACGTAAGGTAAAATTCTTAAAAAATGTAAGTACATATTTTTCTTTTACTTTATTATTGTATACTTCAATTTTTATTAAAAAATTAATACACTTTTTTCAAAAATTCCTGAGATATTTATTGCCACATATGTTTTAATGTTAAATATTATATCTTATAAAACTTATTTAAAAATTGAATTAAAAGTAATTGAAAAATTTAATTCTTTTAAACGTTGGTTAATGTTTTTAATTCAATATTCAATTTAGTAAATTTTAATTCCAATTAAATGTTGGCGCAATGTTTTTATAGCGGTGTTTTTATTCTATTATATGAAAGTAATAATTTAACCTTACTTTAGCATTTTATACTCTTAGTAAATGTATTTATTTACGTTTGCCAGCCATCTTAAAAAAAACAACGTTTCCAACAAAAAAAATTAATCCATTATTTTTAACGATATTTATTTTTTTAAAAGTTTCGAATACTTTACTATGCGTGAAAAACTTAAAAACAGCATTTTTCAAGATGGCTGACGACTGTAAAAACCGCGCCAACAATAGCGCCAATGTAAATCGCCAAAAATCCGTGCAACCGTCTACCAAAGTAGTACCATTTGGCGCAAATATTGACGCTGTTACTGTTTTACTGGTAACCCAGAATTGACTTTGCTTTCCCAACGTTACGGCAGCCATGCCATTTTTTGTTATGTGTCAATGTTTTTCTTAAGTTTAATATAATTGGAATTTCTTAGTTTAGTGACTGAGAGCTACCTGATGTGTAGAAAGTGTATCACGCACTACAGATCACATATTTTGAATTTTGACAGTATTTTGAATTATTAGTATTTTAATTTGTTAATTGAACTTTAGTTTTCGTTAGCTGGCTGGTTCTAATTAATTGTTTTCCCGTGAAGACAATACATTTGGCAAGATAAATACTCTTATTATTATTATTATTATTATTATTATTATTGCCAGAATTTAGAGTGAAAAGGTAAGAAAAATATAACTAACTAGTATATGAATGAAGGTTTAATTAGTTCTCGCTATGAATGTGAAATTTGTATGAAAGCTATGTCTCTGGTCGAACTTGAGGATCATTCGAATGGCTATGAGTGGATTTATTGCGAGGGCGCTCGAAACTGGCTCTCATCTCATACCGACACCATGAAGGGCATATGGAGCCACATTAAGTGTAAGTTTTCGCAAGCGGGGTCTTCGGTAGCCGTCGGATGACATTTTGTATTCCGTTTTTTGAAAAGTTTATGTGAAGTCGCTAGTACGGTATCAGGAAAAAAAGGATCAGTTACGGGACTAAATGATTTGCATTGTGTATGCGCAGCAGTCGTCCAACGCTGACGATGAGACATAGTCTAAAACACAGGGGTGAGTACTTTTGTTTTTGTAGCATATGCTTTCGGCGTTGTTTTGAGTGACAGTTGTCTTGGAAACATTCCTTTCTGGCGTCATAAAAATTCCAAAAATATCAAGGGGTACTCTATTGTACACTTTTACCTATGTGATGTTACTTGATGTATTGATGCAATTTTTTTAATATTAGGCATAAAATTGTTTAGCTTAATTCTTAAATCACCTTGCTCAAACATATTCAGCCTGGTTTTTATTTTCCATCGTAAATTATTAATTTAACAGCCATTTTCAATTATGCATCTCTCCCGTTTTTGGAGCTTAGCAATGTACGATTTACTGGGAATCACCTGCCATGCTATGTATGCGTGTGTTTGCTTGTTTTATCTGTCTGTCATCTTTGAATTGTCGATTTTAAAAACAATTGTGGAATTATGATATAAATTTTTAATGGAAAAAGAGATATTTTCATTTTATTACTTGGTAAATATTAAGGTACTACTTACGGTAGACGGTTGCACGGATTTTTGGCGATTTACATTGGCGCAATTGTTGGCGCGGTTTTTACAGTCGTCAGCCTTCTTGAAAAATGCTGTTTTTATGTATTTTACGCATAGTAAAGTATCCGAAACTTTAAAAAAATAAATATCGTTAAAAATAATGGATTAATTTTTTGTTGGAAACGTTGTTTTTTTAAGATGGGTAGCAAATGTAAATCAATACATTTACTAAGAGTATAAAATGCTAAAGTAAGGTTAAATTATTACTTTCATATAATAGAATAAAAACACCGCTATAAAAACATTGCGCCAACATTTAATTGAATTAAAATATTACGTAAATTGAATATGGAATTAAAAACATCATGCCAATGTTTAAAAAAATTAAAATATTAGTTAAATTTAAATACTTTAAAATAAGTTTTATAGTATATAATTATTTAATATTAAAACATATGTGGTAATAAATATCTCAGGAATTTTTGAAAACACTGCAT